GAGGAGAAAGAGTGAGTCTGATGGTCTGTGGGAGGAAAAGCAGGAGAGGAAAATGTACTGAGGAGGAGAAACGGGTTCATGTACCTTCAGTGTGACACTCTGAAGCTCCAGCAGCCTCCTCACAGCTCCACCGCTCTTCTTCTTTTTGGACTTCCTGTCCACTGTTGGACTCCTCAGCTTTTGTCGGAAGCAAGTTTTGATGTGCTGCTGGTGTGGAGACGCAGTGCAGTGTTTTACACTCCTCTGCATTATTCTCTCCAGTACTGGATTGATCAGATTCTTCTGTGGGTCCCTGAAGTGCACTGCTTTCAGAATAAGAGTCATCGCAATGTGCTTTGTTTTTAGAATAAGAGTCCCCAGGGTCAGGTGTACTTTCAGAATATGTGCTTGCTAAGTGAGAGTCTTCTGTATTATTTTCAGAAGAGCTCTGAGTTTGTGTTTCTTTTTCAGAATTAAAAGTTCCTTGATGCGTTTGCAGTGTGTTGCTTTCACAATAAGAGTCCCTGTGTTGTGTTAGATGTGTGCTGTTTTCAGAAAACAAATCCTTGATCTGCTTGTATCCTGTGCTGGGCCCTTCAGAGCATGTGTGCTGTGTCTGTTTTTCAGAATAAGAGTCCTTGTAATATGGTTCTGTTGCCGTTTTTTCAAAATAACAGCACTCAGTGTGACGCTGTTTATTTTTTTCTGAGTCAGCGTGTCGTTCTCTTGCTGTACTTTCAGAATAATAGTCCACGAAGTGCGTTTCTGGTGCTGTGTTTTCAGAATACGAGCCCTCAGTGTCTGTTTCTTTTATGTTGCTTTCAGAATAAGAGTCTCTTGCCATCTCTTGCTTGTTATTTTCAGAATTAAAGTTACTGGAGTCTGTCTGTTTAGTGTCACTTTCAGAATAAGAGTCTTTGTAATGTGCTTCTCGTACTGTGTTTTCAGAATGAGAGTCCTGAATGTGTGGTTGTTTGTTATTTTCAGGATAACAGTCCTCGCAACGTGACTCTGTAGCTATGTTTTCAAAATAAGACTGCTCAGATTTACTTTGTGGTTTGTTACTTTCA